ACAGAAAAGGCTCCAAGCCTATACCATCTCAATCCCACGCCTCTAGTGATGTACCAAAACCTTTGAGAATGCATCGGAACCGCAGAATGAGAGGGAGAAGATACAGAAGTGCAGCAAGCTGCGATAACGCCTAATGTAAGGGTCAAACTATCAGACTCAAGTCTGCTATTCCAGTCTACAAGGAGCTAAGTCAGCCGAACGACGTCGGCAGAAATTCAAGGCTATCCAGCCCACACGGGTCATAAGTCTAAGGCAATGCTAGCCTAACCTACACTAAGGACATCATGCCTATGGTTAAGGATGAACAAGGGATACAATACATAGCATAAAAGCATACAATAGCATTTAGCACATAAGCATGCAACTCTACTAAACTGGTAAACATGATACTATACCCGAAATATGGCCAATTGATCCTAACATCAGGTATTTAATTAAAGTAAGGTAGTAAACTGGCACCCACCCCCAATTCACTCCAATCGACATATTTTTACACAATTAAGCTCAATATAAAAGAAAGGAAGTTGTAGACAACCTTAAGGCCGACTGCACGCTCTCCAAATCACTTTATCGGAGCTTTCCCTATCCGAATAACCTCAAAATGCTGCCCCGCTATCAAAAATAGAGTCACAACGTTATTACGGTCGTTTAAATACCAAAATCACAACAAACGGAATCGGTTCAATTTTGGAGTCACAACGGGTATTGTGGGACCCACACCGAACTGTTTGAAATTGACTCCGTCAAGAGACCCTAAACGGTACCCCAAACTTGTGTTCCAAAATGGAACACAATTCGAGGGTCAAAACACAGCAAAACCAACAAGCAAGAAACCACACTTTAATCAACTAAAAGAAAACCTACAACAGCATTCTAAACTCGGAATACACGAGAATCGAGAGGTGCCCAACACTCTTTGAACACTCTACGATGAAGTATCGACAATTCTCAATACGTGGGACTTCGAATCACCCAAAACCGAGCCAAAATTAAATAGATATGACCAAAACAAGAATGTAAAAAACAAAAGCTCGAAAAAGGAACAACAGTCAGATTAATCGCGAAATTACATCGAACTACGCATACCCAATAACTTCCGAGCACTCTACAGCGAAGCTACCAAAAATACGAAGATCCCGCACTTTTAATCGCCTAATTCGCATAAAAGATGAGAAAGTTATGAGAGTTTGAAGGTTTCGAAAATGTTGGTGATTTTCTGCATTTATAGCAGATTTTCTGCAATATTTCCAAAACTTTAAAACTCGGACGGGGTGCTACAAACTCGTTCGGAACCCTGTATACGCAAACGAGATATTCAACCATACCAAATTTGATATTCCAGACTCAACGGTGCAGTCAAAATTTCCATCAAAGGTCATCACAATAAGAAGTGGGTCCCACTTCCAAAAGCTATTTTACGTCAAAAACCACAGAAGGGCTCGGAAAGATATCGAAAACCTCGGCATACAGAAGAATGGTCAATCTAGACAAAACTCGACATTCCGCAGCTAACCGCACTAACGGAATCCTAATCCGAGCGCGTTTACTCAAAATGTTGACCAAAGTAAAACTTAGGCTTAAACTTAAAGTTAAAACGCCTAATCGCACCGACTCACACTGAAAACCTTGGGAGTCATGTCGACCACGCTACTAGCCTAAAATGACCCTTCCGGAGCTGATGGAATCATCATAATTGGATTTCGATGTCATATTCTTGAAATTTTGATCGAAAATGATCGTTCAAGGTTCTTAAGCTCCAAAGCACAAAAACTCGCACCAAGACCAAACGAACAACCAGGTAACCGAACTATCAGTCCCAGCCAGTCATAAACGACTTGGGGTCGCTACAAGAACGCTCTAAACGACACACAGAAGACAAAACACAGAAATGACCAAAAGGGTTATAACAATATCCACTACTAAAAAGGACATTCGTCCGCGAAAGTAAGTGTCAAGAAATACCTGAAGGCTCAAACAAGTCGGGAAACTGCTCTTGCATCTCCTGCTCTGTCTCCCAGGTAGCCTCCTCGACTGGACGATGCTTCTAATGGACCTTAATAACAGGAATGGCTCTCGAGCGCATTCTCCTCACATCACTGGCTAGAATGGCAACTGGCTCCTCTACAAATGTCAAACGATCATCCAAGTCGACTGCATCATACTGGAGCACATGGTACTTATCAGGAACATACTGCCGCAACATCGAGACATGGAAAATCGGGTGGATGGCTGAAAATGTTGGAGCTAGGGCCAACTCATAAGCAACCTCCCCAACTATGCAGAGTATCTCAAAAGGCCTAATGTACCTGGGGCTAAGCATGCCCCGCCTCCCAAACCTCATCCACGCCCTTCATGGGCGACACACAGAGGAATACCCGATCACCAATAGAGAATCTCAAAGGTCGACGCCTCCAATCCGCATAAATCTGGTGCCTACTTTGAGCCATCCTGAGTCTATCCTGAATCACTCTCACCTGGTCCAAAGCCTCCTGAAACAAATCCATACCACGCGACCTAGGCTCTGTATACTCAAACCAACCAATTGGAGAGCGACAACGCCTACCATATAAGACCTCGAACGGGGCCATCTGAATGCTAGAATGGTAGCTATTATTATACGCAAACTCCGCCAAAGGCAAGAACTGGTCCCAATTACCACCAAACTCCAAAACACAAACCCGCAGCATTTCCTTAAGGATTTGAATCGTACTCTCCGACTGACCATCAGTCCATGGGTGGAAAGTTGTGCTAAGATTAACCTGAGCTCCCAAGTCATTCTGAAAGGTCCTCCAAAAGCTAGACGTGAATTGAGAACCCCGATATGATATAATAGAAACTGGCACCCCATGAAGTCGAACCACCTCCAGAATGTAGATACGAGCCAACCTCTCGGCGCTAAATGAAGACTTAACGGGAAGGAAATGTGCAGACTTGGTCAATCGATCAACGATGACCCAAATGCTATCAACACCTCTAGAAGTCCATGGCAACCCCACAATGAAGTCCATAGTGATACGCTCCCACTTCCATTCCGGAATGGGTAATCTCTAGAACTCGCCTCCAGGCCTCAAATGCTCGGCCTTTACCTGCTGGCAACACAAGCAACGGGAAACAATGTCAGCAATATCTCTCCTCATGCCACTCCACCAGTAATGATGCCTCAGATCACGATACACTACGCTGTGCCTGGATGGATAGAGTATCTAGACTCATGGCCCTCAGAAAGTATCAACTGTATCAAATCCCCAACTCTCGAAACACAGATGCGGCCGGCGAATCTCAACACTCTATCAGGATCTAAGGTATCCTGACCACCATCACCTGCTAATACTCGATATCTAAGGGACACCAAGGCCTCATCCTCAAACTGACAACCACAGATCCTATCAAGAAAGGAAGATTGAACTCCTATATGGGCCAAGACACGTCTAGAATCTGAGATATCCAACCGAACCATGCTATTGGCAAAGAACAGAATGTCCATAGACAAGGGTCGCTCCTCAAGAAATAAGAAGGCTAGACTATCCATACTCACCGCCTTCCAGATCAAGGCATCTGCTGCCACATTCGCCTTGCCTGGATGATAGAGAATAAAGAGGTCGTAGTCCTTCAGGAGCTCAATCCAGTGACGCTGCCTCGAATTAAGGTCCCTCTGGCTCATGATGTACTGAAGACTCCTATAATCGGTATTGATCTCACATCGAACTCCATACAAGTAGTGCCTCCAAATCATAAGCGCAAAAACTATTGCCGCCAACTCCAAGTCATGAATGGGGTAGGTGCGCTCATGGACCTTAAGCTGCCTCGACACATCAGCAATAACCCGCCTCTGCTGCATCAATACACAACCCACACCAGCGCAGGATGCCTCACAATAAACCGTGAAGCCCTCGCCCTCAACCGAAAGAGTCATTATATGAGCGGTGGACAATAACTCCTTGAGCCTCAAAAAGCTCGCCTCACACTCCTGTGACCAAACGAAGGGAACATAAACACGAGTCAATCGGGTCAGAGGCGCTGCCAAGGTAGAGAAACCTTCAACAAATCGTCTGTAGTAGCCTGCTAGTCCGATGAAGCTCTGAATCTCCGTAACTGAGGTGGGCCTAGGCCAATCACGAATAGCCTTAATCTTAACCGAATCTACCGTAATGCCCTCCTTGGATATAACATGCCCCAAGAACGCTTCAGAGTCTAACCAAAATTGGCACTTTGAGAACATGGCATAATGCCGCTGATCTCTCAATGTCTGGAGCACAACTCTCAAATGCTGCTCATGATCAACCCTACTCCGCGAGTAAATCAAAATGTCATCAATGAAGACTATGAAGAAGGAATTAAGATAAGGCCTGAACACGCGCTTCATCAAGTCCATAAAGGCAGCAGGGGTATTAGTCAACCCAAATGACATCACCAAGAACTCATATTGGCCATAACGAGTCCTTAATACAGTCTTAGGATGTCCGCTGCCCTAATCCTCAACTAGTGGTAACCGGACCTCAAATCAAACTTAGAGAACACTGAAGCTCCCTGTAGCTGGTTAAATGGGTCATCAATCCTAGGTAGAGGATATCGATTCTTCACTGTCACCTTATTCAACTGCCTAAAGTCAATGCACATGCGCGTCGTACCGTCCTTCTTCTTCACCAAAAGAATGGGAACGCCCTAAGGTGATACATTAGGTCTGATAAATCCCTTACCCAAGAGATCCTGAAGCTGAACACTGAGCTCTGCAGGAGCCATCCGATATGGAGCAATAGAAATAGGCCGAGTACCTGGCACAAGCTCAATCGGAAAATCAATATCACGCTATGGGGGTAGACCAGGTAGGTCAGTAGGAAACACATCTAAGAAGTCACGAACAACAGGAACTGACTCAACCGGAGGAACCTCCCTAGTCATATCACGTACATAGGCCAAATATGATAAGCATACACTAGCCACTAGCCTACTAGCCCGAATAAAAAAGATAACCCCAACTGGTGTGCTACCACGAGATCCTGCTATGACACCGGAGGAATAGCAAGAATGTCTAAGGTAACGGTCTTTGAAAAGCAATCTAAAACAGCGTGATAAGGGGATAACGAGTCCATGCCCAGAATCACATCGAAATCAACCATGTCAAGCAATATAAGATCATCCCGGGTGTCACGCCCCTGGATAGTAACCAGGCAAGATCGAAATACCTGATCCACTACTAAAGACTCACCCACAGGGTTCGACACACGCAACGGCGCTACCAGAGGCTCAGACATCATACTCAATCGAGAGGCATAGTAAACAGAAACATACGAAAAGGTAGAGCTCGGATCAAATAAAGGCAAGGAGGCCTGCTGGCATAAAAGAATCGTACCTGTGATCACATCGTCTGATACCTCAGTCTCCGCTCTCGCTGGAGCTGCATAGAAATAGTTATGTCTGCCTATGCCCTGACCATCAAACCTACCACCTGACCTGCCTCCTCAAGGACCACCTCATATACCCTGCTGGCCTACTTTATGGTCCTGACCCTGACCACGGCCTCTAGCTGGCGGTGCTGGTAAAGCTGGGGTAGCTGCATGAGGAACGGGAGCAATCCGGCAATGCTGACAGTAGTCCCTGGCCCAATGACCCATCTCACCACACTCATACCAATCCTGTCGAGGTCGAATCCAAGAAGAACGACTACCATGGCCTGAAGAACCCGACTGAAACACCTTGCGGCCCTGACTCGAACTAGCCTCACTCCGACCACCATCTAATGACTGAAGAGAGGCCTGTGTAGGTCTGTTAGACTGACCCTGTCGAAATCGTCGTTCGGCCCTGTCATGATAATCTTTAGACCTGTGGCGGGAGTCACTGTAGCTGCCCTCATGCCTAGCCCTCTTCTCGCTACCCCCTGGGGCCTCGCGACGAAGATGCTCCATAGTATTGGCATGGTCAACTATGTCTAAAAAAGATCAACCCGCAGAAACTAAGGACTGGGTTTCAAGCCGAAGCTGCAATCTCAACCCATGAACAAAGCACCTAACTCGTTCCTCTTCTGTAGGTAATATCATCTCGGCATGATGGGAGAGCTCATGGAACCTAGTCTCGTACTCAACCACCGACATGGAGCCCTGCTCCAACCTGCAGAACTGATCCTTGAGGCAGTCTCTGACGCTACGAGGGATAAACTTTGCCAAGAGGTCCTCAGAAAACTCATCCCATGAAATCGGTGGAGATCTAGCTGGTCTAGTTTGAAATAATGTGCGCCACCACTGCCTGGCTGTCCCCTCTAGCAGGTAAGCAATGAAGTCAGCCCCTCTACACTCCAAAAGGCCTAAAGTACGAAGCCTCTCACGGCAAGTAGTAAGAAACTCGTGGGCATCCTCACCCACAGCCCCAGAAAACCTCGGTGGTGTCAACCTGAGAAACACACCAAGCATCTTCTGGTCCTCAAGCAACATAGGTCTATCCGCTGCCAAGGGCTGTACTTCATCAGGAGGTACCTGGACCTGAGGTTCCCTCACTATAGGCTGATCCTACAGTACTGGCACTAGTGTAGCTGGGGCGAGTGGCTGGTGCTTACCCCCAAGCACACCCAAGAGTTGAGCAATAGCGGCCTGGAGATCGAAGGTCAGAACTGGTCCGCGTGGCTGCTGGGCTGGCCCCGGCCCCACCAGTTGATCTGGTATACGAGATGCTGGAGGGTCTGTTGCTGGCTCTGGATCCTGCTCTCTCTCCTGGGCTGGTGTTGTGGCCCTCTCTCGACCTCGGGGTCAGCCTCTCTGTAGGCCTGGGTGCATCCCCCCAGCTGGGGCTCTCTCTGTAGGCCTGGGTGCATCCCCCCGGCTGCGCCACCTTGCGAGCGAGCTATCCTGCGAAAGAGTGAAACAAGTGAGATCTTAAGGAACCAACAAGACATATGTTGCACGAAAGTGAAACAAAAGAGGAAATTTTCCTAAAAATATCCTGTAGCTTCCCGAAGATAAGTTACGGACGTCTCCGCACTAATCTGCAAGACTCTACTAGACGTTAGCTCTGTACAAGTGAAACCGATGAACCTGGGGCTCTGATACCAATTTTGTCACGACCCAATTTCTCGAGTCATCATGGAACCTACTATACCCTACCAGTAGGTAAGCCAACCCGTAACCCAGAACATCAAGCAATGAGAGAAATGACAGAATCTAGCAAAAACAACAATCTAAACAAGAATAACATGGCGGAAGGAACCCAAAATAAATATATGTAGAAATCCCTTCCAGAACCTGGAAGTCACTAGTACAGATCTATCTAATAAACAGTACAAGTCCCAAAAGTGGCCAACAACAGAGCGTGTCTCAAAAACAACAAGAGTAGCTTAACTAAAAGAAGAAGGCAGAACAAACCCAAAATGCCAAGTGCTCATCTTCATCTCCGAATCACAGCTGCAAAAGAAGGCTGGAACTAATCACCGCTGGTAACTGGTACTGGGACCTGCATCACGAAATAGATGCAGAGCGTAGCATGAGTACCAAAACAGCTGGTACCCAGTAGG